CTACCCTTATTTAATCAAGTTGGGGAAGAAGCATATTGAGGTGGCATTCTGAAAACGCTGTGTAACCCACTACCTATGAAAATATCCATACAGAGTATTTATATGTACATGTAAGAAAGCTGATATCTTAGGTGTTTGCTTTCCATGATACAAGAGAGGAATGGGATCTGCTAATCGGCACCAGGCCACAAGACATTTTAAGTCTTTCCAAGTACTCTTAGACAAAAATTTTTTAAAATAATAATTGCCTCTAGAGAGCAAGCAGTTGTACAGGAAAAAGCTGTGTCCTAAACTCTACTCTTTTCAGTCTAGCCTCTCAAAAGCTAAATATTTTACAGAGGCAGCATCTTTATAATGCTTATGGCCGAACACTTTACTTTCTGGAGTCATGTCTCATCATCCACAAAATCTCATTCAATATCCAGTTTTAAAAACTTGGCTTTTCTAAGGTTTTTCAAGCATCCCCATCAACGAGTAGGGAAGAGAAAAAAAAAAAAACCACAACAACCAACATGATCTGTCCCTTCTTTCAGGAATACTAATCTCCTCATTTTCATAGCTGTTCAGCTGTGCTTTTAAAGTCTGCAGTATATTTACAAACAAAATCAATACCAAGGTTTGGGGGGGAGAGGGGCAACCTTTTGTGTCATCATCTTCCCCATCCTCAATAAGGGTCTAGATGTGTTTAAGGGCAAAAATTCCACCCCAATATATTAGTTTTGTTAATCCTTTTCCTATGATCTTGCGTGCCTGGCTAGGGAAATTATGCAAAAAGTAATAAAAGTTCTAATTCAATTTCCATGTTAAGAGACGGATTTAGAAAAAAAAATAAAAAAATCAGAAGCCATATTCTTTGTGTTTACTAAGAGATATGCACTCCAACATTTAGTGTCATGGAGCTGGAGTTAAAACCAGAAACGGCGAAGATAATTTAGCTGCATGAATGCCTGCTCTTCAGTAAAATGCTGCCAAAATTAAATAGGAATGAAACAGCACTTTGTAGTCATTGGTCGCTCAGCGGGGTTTGCGTAGTTAAAAACCTAAGTGAAAAGGGTGATTGACCTACATTGCAACTAGCTTAGCACAGCTGTACTTTCATATTTTTGCTGCATCCGAGGAAGCTCATTATTTAATACGACTGAGTTACGTGTAATTGTCGGTCTTTCATTTTACACTTCCAGGGGCCAGATATTAATCTCAAACGTGCAGCAGGCACTGCCATGCATCTGGAGACATCCGCGGCCGCCCATGTGCGGGCGAGGCTGAGAGACAGGATTTGCATGCAGTTGCACCTGAAATCAGGAGGCTGCCCAGGGGTAGGAGGACCTCACAAATATGCAGAAATCAAACGAGCAGATGGAACAGAGAGCAAATCCCTTGGCACCCCAAAGGCAAACGCTCCACTGTTTCCCTATTGTTTTGAGCAGAAGCAGCCCCAGAATGCGCAACCAAAGCACATTTCACACAACTCATACCTGCGGTTTAAATAAGTAATAACATTCCAGTTAACAACCAGTTTGACATGTTAACAGCCCAAGGGCTGTTAACATAATGACTGGTCATTAATGGCAGTAATGACAGATTTCAAAGGGAATATTGTGCTTGTAAATGGACACGCTGCCAGTCAGAAGAGAGGACTGAGCAGGATAGGCTGATACATTAAGATGTCACCATACAGCTCTGGAGGGAAAAAGGGGAAAAAAAAAGTTCTTGCATATTTCACTTACTGTAAATGGACTTGAAATACTGGCGTAAACCTAAGTTCCTTAAATTAAGTCTTCACTTTCTAACCCAAGAGTGTATAAGCAGAAGACAGAAGCCTGCAGGGGAATTATACTCTGCATATCATTTTCACCGAGTGTGTTATTTCTAACATTGAGCCCTTTCTTTACTCAAGTCAGTTCTCATCCTCGTTAACAAAATGGAGTTCATTTCTGCTGCGGCCACCCTAATACCCTTGGTGTCCTACACCACCACTGAAACCACTGGAGTGCCTCACATGAATCAGATTCCAGGGTAAAGCCTCTCACACCCAAAGCATCTTCCAAGCTCGTTACCTCATTAAAGATTCCTTCCATCCCCTCAATCCCTCCCAATCCAGAGAAAAAGATTTTAATATAGTATAATTAACTAATTTTACCAAAGGAGAGAACTAAAGCAAAGCGAGTTTTGAAGTTCTGAAGATACAGAGCATTTATAAGAAGCTCAAAGTGGGTACCTCAGGGCTCAACTGCAGCACAAGTGCGTGCATCAGGGCTGAGGGAGGGTTTAGTTTTTTTGGCAGGCCTCTAAATGAAAGATACTGGAAGTATTTTTGCAAGCAGGCAAAGACGCAATCACACAGTTTATGAATTTAAACATGAATGTTAAAGCACCCAAACTGGCTACATTATTGCTTGTAGCATCTGTAGAATGGCTCTCTTACTGAAAGGCATAATGAACACTGAGAGACAAGTTAATAAGCAATTTTACTCTTTATAGTATTGTTCAAGCCCCATATCCTCTAGAGGGCACCACATAAATTAATAGGAAGCCAGAACTGTTTTATACGTAGCAAAGATTCCCTTTATGGTTAAAAAGAAAAAAACCCAAAAAACTAAGAGGATAGTATGAAACCATAATCAAACCCTAATCTGATCATTAGTACAATGCAATTTGTTCCTTAAATTTATATCAAGTATGTTGCTAAATATGAAAGCTTATTCGACTACAAAGCTAGAGAAAATTTAACTAGTTTCTACATTAGCATTAAAAAGATCACTTTTATAGGTTCACTGCATAACTAAGTAGATAAGATGCAATGAGGCAAATGACTATCTGCAATTACCTTAAGTGCATCAGTTTGAAGTTTAGTGTAAATACCTAGTTTAAATCTATGCACTCAAAAGTATCACTAAAAAAAATGCTTGTGACAAAAGAGCTTCATTAAGACTTGATAAATCAAGAGACAAAAACCAGAAACATCTTAAAACTGATTACAGAATTTCTCATGTATCCTGGTTTCACTGGTACAAAATAAAAGGTGTTGTTGAAGAAATGACTGAAACACCAATCTTGAATGTGGTCATGACAGATGAAAAAATACAGTCTCCTTTCTCTGAATTGCTTAGTATGAATTTTAACAATCTATTAGCAAAATATTTACTCCTGTTAAACATTCAAAGATCAGAGACCAACAGTTGTGTGTATGTGCATCTGTGCTGGGGAAATGCTTTGCTCATATCTCTACTACTAGATAATTTTGGTTTTGATTTTAAACATTTGATTTTAAAACATTAGATCAGCTGCACTAGCACTTGGGAGATTCAGTAAGTTCAAAGTCTCCAGTAAATTTGGAACTCAGATCAAACAGTCAGAGCACAGTTTTCTCGCTCCTGCAGGCGTTTGTTGTATAAGGATTCTTAAAATGAGTTTTAAAAATTGGGATGCTACTTCCCCCCTGCCCCAGAAAGCTGTTCCAAGCCTTCTCTATACACATTCACTTTAAGATCACAAGGGACCCAGGTTCACATATAACAATTCCCTTCTGTTCCAGCAGTTTTTAAAAGTAGGGTTTTATTACCTACTACTTTGGCAGCTTTAACACAATGGCTTTAAGGTGCAGACTCTATGCTAAATTCTCTGCACTCTTTTGTGGGTTCAGTTCAGAGCTTTAAGAGGTAGCAGAGTACTTTTACCACTAAGCAGTGTAAGCCTAGGTCTGAAGAAGCTGATCTGCCTTGCAGCCCCAGCTCAACAAATGCACAGCACGTTTGTGAAGGTTTTTGTTCCACTCTAGAAAAAAAGAGATCGTTACGTGGACAGCCAGAGTACCAACAGTTAATGCTTTAGTCTTGATTCCTGTTCCAACCTACCCATGCTGTACAATTTGGGAACTGATCAGTGTGTGGGAACCTACTGTTTGGTACCTGTACTTAAGCTGAACTTGTAAGTTAACACGTTCAAAAAGAATTTTAATTTTTCCCCAGTGTATTACTGACTTCAACGTCCCTTTAAAAGGAAAAGGTTTCTCTAAAGGGGCAGGGGAAATATTCCCAGAAGTTCACCTTAGCCTGGAGCAGCTAGTCTCATTAGTCCCCCTCTACAGGGAATGGAGGAAAGGTACTACTATGGGAAATAGGTGCTCAGAATCACCCCAGAGGAGCCTTTTCTCTCTATTTACTATTAAGAGCCCAGGGAGACTAAACTTGCTGATTAAACTTGGCTCCTGCAAGGTAGCCCTATTTATTGACATATGCTCTGCAGATAAACTAACCTGGTGCTGCTCATCAGTACTTTGCTATGAGTTACTCCTCAAACACTTTTGAGGATGTAGGTCCACAAGCAAACAAGACGACAGAAAATCAGGTGACAATTTGCTGTCTCTAACAAGTGGCAACAGGTCAGCCAGCATCCCAGCCAGGACATGAAGTTAAGTTAAATGAGCAGAGTGGATAAGAGCTTACTAGACACATGATTTTTAAGCATGGGGAAGATAGCTGGTCATCTTGGTCCAGCTGCTAACAGCTGAAGGGCAACATCCATAAAAGCTTGAGAGCCACAAATGAAATCCCTTTGCAAACGAAGCGAAGACAGGTGAAACACTCCTCACTGACAGAGTTCAAACCCTGCACTGAAGGTGGGTGAAAACCATGCGTGTGGTTTCAGGTCGATATACCCGGCCACCATCGTGCTGCTAGGAGGAGGAGGAGGAGGAGACCACTGTCTCCCCAGGAGCACAGTGCTGCGGGAATCATGGAGGGATTTACTCTCTTCTGCGTGAGAGCACAGGACACCAGTATTGGCATCAGAAACCTGGCAGCCACCGGCACAACCTAGTTACATGTGCTTTCTGATTCAGATTTTAATTTTGTCTCCGTTATTCAGTATTTGTTTCCTCATCCTCCACACATATTCCAGCCTTGCAGCCCTCGAGCGCTGCTTATGCAACACCAGCTACGTAGGAAGGACTGAACAGATTTTCCAAGTTTGCCGGTGAACGGAAGAAGGACGTGACCTACCTCAGATAGTCTCTGCGACAAAGGATAAGGTTGGCTTTGGTGTACAAGGTAGAGCCCACCTCCCCCAGGCGACAGTCACAGCAGGCACATTTCAGGCAGTCCTCATGCCAATATTTGTCCAGGGCCTTTAGAAGATATCGGTCTTTAATCTTACGGTTGCAGCCAGCACAACCTTTCGGCTTGGTGTCTGGCTGGACTGAGAGCATTTGTATACCTGAAATACAATAAGACAAGGGTGAAAATAGATATTCTCTGAAGTAGAAAAACTCTTGCCCTTTTCTTCCTCCATCTCACTGCTCCCCCTACACCCCTTTCATTTAAAAGGCAATGGCATAGATAGGATAAAATAACATAGATAGTCCACAGCAAGCTGAAAACAATGCTAAGATAAATCTGAGAGCAGAAACTTCCATTACTCTAAGTTCCACAGGTTCTCTTTAACACCTCATTTACCTGGTCTCTTTGCTGAAAAGAAATAAGATTAAAAAAATTAAAATGAAATTTTAAAAAAGTTCAGTTGAAAAGTCATCCACTTTCAGCCAAAGTATCCAATATGTAGCAACACAAAATTTAAATAAACAGCATATCTATGATGGCAAACACAGCTAAATCCACATATTTGGACTTATTTTCACTATCTTTATAGATATAAAAGCACTCCAGATTCTAAAGGAGAAAAGACTGAAGCTTTTAGAGGCACAGGGACAAAGTTTCGGTGAGGTTCGACATAGAAATTTTGATGCTGGTGTGGGGATGTTTTACTTTTTTAAGATTTCAGTTCTTATTAGACACATTAACAAAGTGATAAGATTTCCAGACACTTCAATAGCAGCATTGTATTTACAACTTGCAGTGTAAAGACCTTCTGAAAAATCTGATTTTAAATAATCTGCATGAAGTCAGAGAGTTTCTAGTTTGTCAAGAAAAAAATTTTAAAAATAATAATAATTAAAAAAAACCAGCAAAACCAACCAAACAAAAAACCCCCAAAAATCCTCAAGCAAAAAAAAACCACTATCCCACTTTCCAATCCCAACTTTAGCCAGCAGCTGGTGTGGGACAAGGAGTACAGTAGTGTCCATTAAGTAAAAAAACATCTTTTGAGGTAATAGCAGAGAGCATTTAAAAAACAATTCAAACACCCAAAACGCTGTTCAATAGACAGAACTGGTAAAAGTGAAACACAGTTAGTTGAGCTATGTTACTCAGAGCAACACAGCCAGCTTCCAGGGATCTATTCAAAAATCAATTGCCCTCAGTTTTACAGCAAATGGGGAGAGGTCACTGCCCCAAAGTGCTTACAGACTGGTCTTTCTCGGTTAGTTGCATGAACTCCCATCCCAATGCACTCAGAGCAATTCTCTGAAAGTTACTTCTTAGAATAAGCAAAATCATAGCCCCGTGGATATTTTATTGGACATCAAACAGGCACCTGAGAGAAGGGAAGAACTGACAACCTGTTTGACCATTAGGTTATCTCCCTGTTTTAAAGCCAGAGATGTAACTTAAAAAAGATACTGTTCATTAGCATGTATCTGAATATTACAATGAGAATTTGTCAAGACTGGGGGACAAATGCTGTTGCCAACAAGCAAATCCTACTCCATCATTCAGGGTATGGAAACCTGTTATCATGCAGAGACTGGGAAAAGCCAAATAAAGTCTCATAACAAAGAAAAGTAAATTCAAGAGCTCATCATCAAGAACGCTCTACTACCTACTGTTAAGAAAGCTTTACAGTCCCAGCTCCTATCAGCAGATCTTGGCTGGTGCCGTAACACACCACTACACACAGGCAGGCTCAGGGAGCTAGAACACAAACAACTTGGGGTTTGGGTTCTGTTTTGTTTGCTTGCTTTTTTTAAAAGCTCTCCTAGGAAAAAACCACGAAAGCCAGTGTAACCTTTGTGGCAATGGTAGAGTGTGCCTTTGTGGATATTAACGCTTCAAAGACAAGAGGTTAAATTCTGCGCCAGCTGAGGCATTCCAGGGATCTCCACACAGGCGTGCATAGAACGCATGGAATCCGTGTGGACCGCAGCGACTCTAGAGCCGGTTAAGTGACTTTCCAGCGTTGCCAAGCTGAACTCCTAAGTTCCACCTGCAAAGGTGGTCACTGAATTAAAAACAGTGATTCTTATTGCAACGTGCGAGCACAGCAGCCTCACTCCCCTCTTTGCAGTGCTGTCTATCACACATCTTGGAGCGACACACGGATCTGCTGGATTCGCTGTTCAGTTGTGCCAGACAGTTCTGCGAGTGGGAACCCCAAGTACCGTGGCAGTGCTGCCGCATGACATCTAAAGCTCGTGACAAAAGTGTAAGGTCTGTATTCTTCTATCCAGAAGCATAAAAATGGTCATTGCTACCTTCCCACTACTCCCCAGCTGATGCTACTGTCACAGCTCCTACACCACTTACAGACTCCCAAAATCTCTTTTTTCATTTGCAAGGGGGAAGATGAGATCCAGCGACCTGCACAGGACTCCACAGAGAGTGGAGTGGCAAATCTGGGAACGAATACACACATCTCCTCTTGAGAAAGCACCATGAAACAAAGGCTGAGCCTTTACTGTATTTTCAGTTGACAGCTGACTCCCCTTAATCCAGGGTACATACATAAAGCAACAAAATAGCATGACTACAAATGACTAAAAGCAGTGAAAACATCAGAGATTTTTGGTAAGGAACCTATACCAGACTGTAAAGAGAAATCCTGCTGAAACTAATATCATCACCTGGTCAAAAAGCCTTAATCTGCAGTGTTGCTTATCACAGCAATGTATATCCACAACAACAGGCTTATCCCCAGTCCCTCTCTTTGGCCATGTAAAGGACAAATGCATAAAATCGGCCACAATTTGTATAAACTTTTTGGAACTCTGTAAAAAAGTTCAGAAGCATGAAGGGCTGTTGCAGGACTTTAATCTTTAGCTCGAGGGAAACCAGAATAAACTAGGAGCTAACACAGTTAAAGGCTTTAAAGAAAAAAATCTTAATGTAAAAATTTTGTTGCCTGATAAGGAAGCGGGTTAGAGAGTGGAGGCTGACAGTCTCTGATCCAGGCTGATCTGTCCTGCACTGTCTGAAGGGAACAAGATGCCACAGAAACACAGCCAAACAAGTGAATATCTGAGCAGATTGCAGTAATCAAGCCTGATAATTCCCAAGGTATATGCTGCAAACATGAGGTTATTGTATTACAAATAAAACTGCAGCTTGCATATACCCTGCACAGCTTTTGAGATATTTGCTACATGAGGAAAGTAGACAGAGCCTTGTCATTCACATTGGTCAGCCCAAACCTTTCTTGTAGAGACAAGTGGAAAGGGGCAGACACCCCATGGAAGTAATGTTTGCAATCCTGCATGTCTATTTTCCCCGAGCCAGAGAGAGAAGGTGGTGCTGACATCCCACTGGCAGCATCTTCAGATTAGGGATTCAATCTGCAGCAGCTTTTGGAGGGAAGGAATGCTTTTCTCCTCTGATAGATCTGATCTTTTTGCACTTTACTTGCAATGAAGCTGCTTCTATTTTAATGAAAGTTAAAAAAAAAAATAAATCCCCAACTGCTGCTTCATCATAAAAAAAAGTTACTCTTTTTTTGAAGTGTAGAAAGGTTCTAAACAAAATGAAGTCATGAAGTGCTTGACATATCTCCAAATTTGTAGAAGTCCTTTTCTTCACATGCCCTGTTTAAATCACTTAATTTTGATAACAGAACATTTTATTACAATTTTTTCTGTACTGTATGAACAGATCACCTCACAGACCATCTCTCTTCCCTTTAACATTCCCATAAGATCTCCAATGCAGTTGCACTGTTCAGATATGCACTCGTGTATTTTTAGCTCTCTCTTAATTTGGCAATAAGAATACCTGCAGCTTTCTGTCAGCCAGCTTTTCACAGGCTGCCATTTAAGTACTCATTTATTTCTTAGGACACAGGAAGGACCCTTTCAGAGGCTGACAGTACCCAAAAAACCACTGAAACTGCTCCCCGCTGAAATATCAGGTAGCAGTACAGAGCACTGCTGCCTGCCTGCCCTCCTCTCCCCCTCCTCCAGGAAAGCAGAGCTTATGGAGCACTTTCAAGACACCATACAATTCCCTAAGTGCTACACCCAGGCTGTAAAAAAAAAAAAGAAACAAAAAAAAAAATCAAACCCGGCTTTCCCTTCAGTTCTGCAGAGTCCTACCAATGCTCTGCATCACAGAGCAGATCTGTCCTCAGAACAGAGAAATTTCAGTGCCTAGTCTGTCACTGTCAAACAAACCCTTTTTATTTCACCCCAATATGCTTTCAAGGGCTTCCTCTATCCTTCCCTCCATTCCCTCTCTTCCTCCACCCCCAGTCCCCAAGATACTGCACATAAACTGCAGAGCTGTGTCAGGAATAAGACTTCTTCCCCATCCACCACCTTTAGGATTTTTGAAGGGAGAACTTAACAACCTGACTTGCAGGTTTTCAAGATTCCTTTCCATCTCTCCAAATAAGTTCGATGCAATGGACTCCCATCCCTGTTTATTGTTATTACAGTATGCTGAAACACTGTCAATTGATTTGTAAGTATGATTTCATAATAAAGAGGAAAGGTTGCTGGAAAAAGCTAAATCAGGCTCCTGAAGAAAGGAAGAGAAACAAAAATCCATTTCACTCAAATCATCACCCTTCTCAGAAATGAAAGGGAGTGAAGATTTGACATAATGAACCATATTTTGTTAGTGATTTAGAAGCATCTGTAAGCAGGATTAGTCCCTGATGGTGCCGAGTGTGGCACAAGACACACAGAACTCAGTTTTTGGTTGGCGGTACAGACGGTTTTTGCGAGGGAGAGTTAGATATCATTATGCACTGGATCACTTACAAACTTTTAAAGATCACTCTTCCCCCCCTTTTTCGGAGGCATGCATACCGTTCTACCAAGGAGAGCAGTACATACAGCAAGAAAGGGAAAACTTGCCTCTATTTAGAAAAATAATAAAATCAGTTTGCAGCAAATTTAGTATTGCTGCATCAGTCTTTAGAAGACAGCAAACTGGCAGAAAACATGCAGTCAAGGAGAGAGTTCGAGGTCTAGTAAAGATAAAAAGAATACTTTTCTGATGCTTTCCCACTTTGTAGCTTCATTCTACAAGCATTCAGAGCGCCAATAATTTAGGACAATACACACACAGACTTGAAAGAAAAAAAGTAAAGGTTTCAGAAGCTAAGAAACATTTCAGAACTCGCATGTAGCACATCAGGAGTCGTAACTAGTTTTAGATTGGCATGTAAATTGTTCTGTGGAAAATTCTTATTGCCTCCGAGACCCTGCTATTCTGAGTTATTTGACAGTTTAAGGGAAATCATAATTAAAAAAAGAGACATAAATAATAGCCTGTGCAGTGTGGTGCACAGAAATAAGTGGAACCATTTCATTTAAACTCTGGTGAGCTTTTAATTGCCTGGATTGCATTGTGAACCAGCCTAACGGTTGATTGCCTCCATTATGCTCTCTTGTTCTGTGCCATTCATCCGCACAGTCTCAGCTTCTGTAGTTAACACAACAAAGTAACCGCAACTCCATAACACTCCGGGTTTTTTTAAAAAATAAAAGTAAGGATTTTAATACTTTGAATATAGTCTCTTCTGTATACTTTTGAGTTGATTTTCCATGATATATGACTAAACTTCCCCTCCTGCCCCTGCTTCTACAAGGGAATCTGTTTTTTCTTTATTTTTTGATTTTTTTTTCTTTTTTAAATAAAGGACATGGATTGGGAAGGGAGAGATGGAAAAAAAAGAAAAGAAAGGCGAAGAGGTTAGGCAAAAAATAAAAATGGGAATGCAGTCCCACAGCTGGGAGCAGTGATACAGATTAAAAGAATTTGGCCAACATGGCTAGTCGATTGCCAAGAGACACCAAACAAAAGATTTCTCTTCTTCTTTCCCCTTCTCTTTTTGAAAGCTAGATTGGGCCTAAAAGCTTGTTTCTCTCTGTTCACTGGCCCAGAGCATCCCTGCAGGCTGTAGCCCCCTAAGGGACAACACGGCAAATAGATGTACCCAGATCTCAGGGACCGGAGCTGCTTAGCTATGTTCCTACCCCTGGCGTGTCCCCCCATCTCTCTCCGCCAGCCCCCCCCCTACTCTCCTCCTCCTTTTTTTAGAGCAGTGGTGCTGGGAACCAATTTGATTCCCTTTTTCTCCAATGCAGCTGCAAGGCTCAGAGATACTGACATTTTTCCACTCTTATCAGTTTAATTACAGTTACCATGGCAGCAAAGTGCTAGTGCTTGGCAAAGGCCAACAAGAGATTTGCAAGACTGAGTTCAATTTTGATGCAGCTCACATGCAAAATAAAAAAATAAATAAGAAACATACACTCCACAACAAAGAATCCCTTTTTGGAGTTAGACGCTCAAGCCTTTTATGCCAATTCCTTCCCGAGCATCGCAAGGATGGGGAGAGGGAGGTGTCGGGGAAAGCACGTCCCGATGTTTGTTGCACCGAGCAAAACGAATTGGTTTAAAGAGCGGTCCTACAGAGCTGTCCTAGGAAGAGGTATTTTGCGTCTCTTCAGAGCACACGCCGACACAGCCGCTCGCTACGGCAGCGCATTGAGGATGGAAACGGAAGGAGGACCCCCCGCCTCCCCCCGGGAGCGCACCCGCTGCGCTCGCTGCGCGCCAGCGCCGGGACCGCCGCCTTACCAAAACTTTTCTCCTTTTTCTGCATGAGTTGATTTACGGGCGCCTGGAGAGCTCCTTCTCATTGAAGCACCAAATCCCGGCAAAAGTAGCAAGTGCTTCCTCGGCTCGGGTCAAGTGAGCGGGAGCGCGGCGCGCCGCAGCGGGGGCGGGGGGCGGCGGGGATGGGGATGGGGATGGGAATAGGGCGGGTGTGGGGGGGGTGACGGCACACCCGGAGCCGCCGGCCCCGCACGGCGATGGCGAGCGACAAAGCCACATGCTCCCCTAACTCTGCCCGTAAGCCTATAATCCCAGCGGTCTCTTAGCTTTGTTGTAACAAATGGGTTTGATTAAACTGTCACATGCGGCGTTCGCATACCGTATCGCGCTCGGTGCGAAGGGAGAGCGGAGGGGGGGGGGGGGGGGGGAAAAAGAGGAAAAAAAAGAGGAATGCTCGCAGACAGAAGTGCTGCTTCATAACGCCAGCCTGGCTGCCCTTCCCTCCCGCCGGTCCGGGAGGCGGAGGATGCGTGAGCACGGACCCCGCGGCCGGAGCGCGTCCCCACCGCCCCCGGCCCGCTCTGCGCCCCCCGGGGCTCCCCGCCCCGCTCCTGCCTCCTCTCTGCCCAAAGGGTTAACCCTGCACCGAACCAGTTGCAAATTAAACTGCTGTACGGGGAGGCTTGTGGATTAAAGCCGGGGAGTGGGAAATTAACCGACTCCCTTGATAATTGAGAGCACGTTTCGAGAAGCTCTGGAAGAAGCAAGAATAATAATAACAATAATAACGGGGAGGGGGTGGTGGTGGGTCTGCAATTCATTGTTAACTTTGACTGCTATTTCTCGAGACATACAGTCGGATGGGTTTCGCTCAGCATCTCCTCCGCTTGCATGTATTTCATGTCTCATCATAAAAATAATGAAGCCTCACATGATTTAAACAAAACAGTCTCAGCAGAGCTGCAGCTTGAGTGAAAGTTGCAGTGCAGAGATGTGTGTGTGTATTGCAGCCCCGGCTTATGACTCAGAGAGAGAGGGAGAGAGAGAGAGTGATGCAGACACACATACACAAATGACCCAAAGCTTATGTACACAGTTGCCTCACTTACCTTCTCAATTAAGCGATACAGGGGAGGCAGTTCAATAAGCACAGTGGCTGCTTTGTAGCTCTTCTCCTTGGAAAAGGTCAAAAAGAAGCATTGTTTGGGGAAAAAAATAAAGAGGGGGTGGGAGAGATGGGGAGGGAGATCGCTATTCTTTAAGTTTAAAATAATGAGGTCCTCAAGGATCCGCCAAGTAATTGTGTTGACCGCATCCGAGCTACAGGTGTCCTCCTTTTAGTATCTTGCAGTCCAAGGCTGTCTGTCTCCGTCCTGGCTGAAGACAACTTACCTAAAGCAGCGTGTGAGGAGCCGAGTTGAATGAAGTCAGGGCTTTATCAGCTGCAAAATGCAATCCCTTACCAGCCAGACATAATACAGCAAAAGAAAAGGTCACTCAGTTATTACTGAGCCAGCAGAGCCCAGACAGCTCTTGTGGAAGACCACAGAGAAGCAGCTCCCTTCCGATTTAAGGCTATTTACCTCTCTCCCCCTCCACCCACCCACCCACCCTGCCTCTCCCCCCTCCCCCCTCCCAACTCCCCCTTTCTCTCTCTCTCTCTCCCTCTCGCTTTCTCTCTCGTTCTGCAGCTCGCTCAAGTACAGCCGCCCTCGGAAAGTGCAAAGCAGCCAGGAGACAGATTGGGCTTTGTTGGTAATTTCCCATGGTGAAAATTTACAAGCCTGCAAGTGCAGTCAGCAAAACCACATGCATATGCTAGACACAAACACCAGGGACACACACACGCACGCACAAGTGACCTCTACTGAAGCGGCTCAGGATCACCTTCCCACAGAGTGCTCCAGAAGCAGACCCGAGGAAACAGGGGAGCGTCGCGCTCCCCCCACCCGCCATCACTCCTCCCAAAATACTTTGCTTAAACAAAACCAGAAGTTGCCCACGCAAAAAAAAAAAAAAAAAAAAAAAAAAAAAAGGCAAGATACATATCTCTCTATTAATGAGTAATGAGAAAAAATCCCTGAAGGTGAAAACTTTGCCTCTCTCCGTGCTAGATCTGAGCTGCTCAGAAAGCAGTGGAAACTCCGGCGTGAAAGTTTCCCGCTCCTCGGCGCGGTCCCCAGCCCGGCCACCCCCCGGGCCCCGCTTGCCACATGTCACCCCCCTCACTGCACTATTGACGCTGAGTGCTGAAGGAAGCCAAGCAGTCTCCCCCCTACAGCATCCTCGTCCCAGGAGCTGAAGACAGACCCTTATTCTCTCTACCTAGTGTTGGAGGGGGGAAAAAAATAATAGACACGGGGGTGCTATAGGTGTTGAACACCCTTGACCACGAGACAGACAGACATGCAAACACACAAGAGGTAGAGCATACTTTGATATTCATTCACTCTCACAGATGATTGTTTCTTTGTGTTTTATAATAAAGATGTTGAGCCTAGCCTACTGTAAATAAAGTTAAAAAAATCCAAAGCATCTCCCTCTAAGAGCCATCTGCAGTTGGAGAAAGACCAGATTAAGAATTTGTGAATACAGTTTTCAGACTTCAAAGTGAATATCTGTTGTCTGCTATTAGAAGCACCACACTAGATTTTCACAAAGCTTTGAAAGATGTCAGCTTACAATATACCCTAAATTTGAATGACACTCACATTATAGAAGTCTTTCAAGACCCAAGAAAGATTTAAAAGCATTGAAGTGCTCTGCCATCTACACCCCTCCCTCGTATAATCCAGCAGCTCTAATAAAAATCAAAGCAACCTCAGAAATGCATATGTTTAGGACAGGTTCCCCCCCTCCACCAAGTAAGCTTCTCCTCCTTTTTTTTTTTTTTTAAAATACATAGATACATATAAAGGTTCCTGGAACAAGCATACTGTGCAATGAACAATTCCTGAATCTCTTGCCCCCTCTTCCTCTAAGTAGTAACAAAACTCAGCCACAACCAACCTGAGCAAGAACCCGAAAAGCACAATCAGAGGCAGCAGGCTAACAGAGCCCCTTTCTGCTGATTTGATCTGCACATAGAGAAAAGCCAAACTTGACAGAAACCTGCTCCTCTCCTGCACGCACCCATATGCTCACAAGAGCCTCACTTCCCTCTGTTTATAGACTACCTCTGCCACAACCACTCTGGAAATACAGCAGTGTGAGTGTGTGTGTGCCTCTCTCCACCAATGCACTCGGAGAAGGAGAAGAAAAGAGGGAGGGAGAAGTTATGTGTGGGGAAAGGGAGAAATAAAATCAAAACAAATGGTACAGCTAA